AAAAAAACAATTTCAGCGAGTAAAAGAGACTTCAACACAAATCAATAATATCTATATATATATATACATATGTATATATAAGGATATTAAAAACGGGTCTTTGAATAACTCACTTATTCATCCATAAATTAAAGTTCATTTTGCGCGCTCAGCGTACATATAAAAATATATAAATATATATTTCAGTCCTTGGTGCGACCCAACCTGTGCACAAGATTCTTTTCTATCTGCATCCTCATCTTCATGAGCAGGCTGTACCTAGCAAACAGCTTCTTCTCTCCGGCCGGCCTCGCGAGCTTAGCAGCAAGAGATGTTCTGTCCAGCTTACCCTCATACAGCTGTGATATGGGCACGAAATCCCCTTCTCTGTTGCAAATCCAGCCATGGGCTGCCCTCAAAGCCGCTCCCAAAGAAGCAGAATCAGGCCTTTGAACTGTGTATACAGGGCATCCAAAAATGGCTGCTATGGCTGCAAGAATGCTCTCATTGGAAGATGCCCCTCCGGTCGCTATTATGCGCCTCGGAGGGCTCGGCATGCCGAACCTCTCGGCATGACCTCGCATTGAGAGGAACTGCCCTTCGATTAGAGCGCGCACCTATCCAATGACCATAAAATATACGTTTAGGGCCATTTACATAAATATCACACAATTCTAACACCCAAACTTTCATATTTACATGCACAAAAACATTTAATATTGAGTGAAGTGTCCAAATAATCGTATCACTTTTTGCTTGGGGGTGGAGGACAGTCTTCATGGAGGATAGTTTCATCCCCAATTTAAAAAATTTAGGAATTAATTTGACATTTATATAAACTCTGGCAAAAAGTAACCCCATATAAACAGCCAAATGACTATTTTTAACTCATTTTAATATCACCATGACCTACTTCTCGCAAGTTAAATGCATATTTTCATGCATAGATAGGTTTATAAATACGAAAGTAGGTGTTTAGATTTGTAAATACATAAGAATTGAGGGATATGAATGTGAATTTTCCGTATATTTATACTGAACCCCCACTGATCTACCCTCAAATCTCTTCTTCTAATCACACATACTAACCTCTGCAGGAGAGTCAAACTCCTCCACCTCACGCTCCTGCAGCTCTTCCAAAGAGTTGCTATCTAAGTTCTCAATCACATAACGATGGAACCCAACTGCACATTTAATTAACATCAGCTTAAATTATA